GAATGGTCGTTCAGCAAGGGGTTGAAGTTTCGCTCAGGTGGCTGAATCGATCGACAGAGAGCCAAACAGAAAGGCAGACTTTAAAAGTTCTGCATTGAAGTATCCCAACAAAGGCTATCATCTTTAAAGAAGGGGAAAGAAGCACCATGATCTTTGGTGTGCATCATGAAATGCAACTGCTCTCTCCTCGTGCATTCCTGTGCGTGTCATTTTAGGTGAGTGAGTCACAGTTCGTGCACTCTGTTTGTGCAGGCACCAACAACGCCCGACTGGCTGCCATGCTGCGACAGCTGGCACAGTACCATGCCAAGGACCCGAACCACCTGTTCATGGTGCGCTTAGCACAGGGTCTGGCGCACATGGGAAAGGGCACGCTCACCCTAGGCCCCTACCACAGTGACCGGCAGCTCATGAGTCCTGTGGCCACTGCAGGACTTCTCACCACCTTGCTGGCTTTCCTCGATGTGAAAAGCAGTGAGTGCTGCCACTGCATTACCAACTTGTAGCCTGTGTCAGCTGTATGAACTCTTAGATGTGCCCATCTGAGGCGGCATTATATATTGCAGCGGTATGAGTGTGCTGAAGCTCTCCGATTGTGGTGCACATTTTTGATAGTCTGGATTTTAAGTAAAGCTCTGCACGGCGGAAACATGGTCTGGGTAGTTTCGAAGACCGTAGCTATATTCCTGTTGCCTTGTAGCAGAAAGCTGTGCAATATAGCCATTGTTGTAGAAAAGGTAGAAATAAGCTTGTCGTTTTTTGGATTAGTTGCTTAAAAGGATTTTTTTTTCTATATACAGTGGGCATTTCTTGCTGATATGTTTCAGATGCTTTGTACAAGTGAACTTTGTGCTGCCATCTGAGGTGCAAAAACTGAAAAAAAAAAAAAAAGTGTTGTGCTGGGGTGCCGTGCAGATTTGATGCGTGTTAATGCTTGACATTAGGTGCAGGCAAGTAACTACTGAAATGTTTTGTCAATTTGGTAATTTCGTCAAAGTGTATGACAATGTTGTGTTTATATTGAGGGTTTGTCAAAGTGTGCGGCAGTGTAAACGAAATGCCTGTGCTCTCCGAAATGTGGGCAAAGGACTACTTCAAGCCGTCCTTGAATGGCTTTTTTCTTCACTTCCCAGTGCATGTGTTGTGACAAACTAGTAAATCATATCAATAATTCAGTCGACACCAGAACCATAACAAACCTCGATACCTGCTTGTCGGTGGTAGTGCGAGAAAAGACCAAATACTGTAGAAGAGCATTCTCAGCTGCATTTACCAGAAATGCATCGGTGTACCCAGCTCATCTGTGATATGGAATGGGTGAAAGGCATAGCCGCACATTCTTAAGAGCCAAGTGTGGAGGTGTTCATTATTCCGTGGTTCTTTTCATGGACACTCTGGAACCCCTTGCCTCCTTACAGTCATTCTTGGCAAATCCCACTACCTGCTGTACTGCCTCGTCACGGCCATCCAGCCTCGCATGTTGGTCACATTCAACGAGAAGCTAGAACCGCTGCCTGTTCCCGTCAGAGTTGGACAGGTGAGAAGGCATCTGCTCTGTGCGAACGAATGGCATTTTGCAGCGATTATTCTCGTATGGAACAGTGTTGGGTTACTGTAGATTTTGCGTTAGTTTTTATTTTTATTATTTTAGTACCCTCAGAACCCAAAAGCATTATAGGGAGGAGTGGGTTGCAGTTTGAATACAACATACTTGAAAAAAAAAAAAAACAAGAAAATTTGAAGGTTACACGGATACATGAAGGAAACCCACAATAAATAGTACACAGCAAAATAACAAAAAATTAATTAATAAATGCAGAGCAGAACAGTCTCTATTACAAAAAGGAATCAACGCAAAAAAAATCATTCAAGCACAAGCACATGCCTATGAACAAAAAAATGCATCGTTGCAGTGACATTTAAGATACAGATGTGTAAAAAGAAAAAAACGAAGGCAGAAGAGTTACAAGGGCCCTTCTTAAGGGTTGATAGCTTTACCATCCCAGACATAGCCTGCTTTTTTTTTTTTAAGAGACACTAAAGAGCAAAATGATTTTTCACGTATTAGTAAAGTACAATTTTAAAATTCTGAAGACAACACTCTTGCCACGACATGACGCTTGCCAGCGAGAACAGGCCCAAGAAAAAAATGGTGGTGGAGACACCACTACGAGATTCGCGCACCAAACACCATGACTTTAATGTTTTAAAATATGTTACATCACACTTGAAGATTTTGGCGTGAAATTTAAAACTGAAACCTCAACCTTGATTCTCTCTGCTAACAATGAAGTTGTGATAGTGAAACATGTGGCATTAGAGTTCTCAGAGTGTAATTTGTAAATCTAAACCAAGTCATTGTTCCTCTTTAAGTGTCCCTTGAATCGGGAGTGTCTCATAATTTGGTCCCAGTTCTGGCATGCAGTAACCCACAATTTTTATTTATTTATTTTATGGTGTACATGCAGTCTTTCGTAAGCCTATCGTGCTGTCACTGTGGCTAAAGAGTGCTCCATGTGTCTCTGTGCAGGCTGTTGATGTGGTGGGACAGGCAGGAAAGCCCAAGACCATCACCGGCTTCCAGACACACACCACTCCAGTCCTACTGGCCTACGGGGAGCGAGCAGAACTCGCCACTGAGGAGTGTATCCTTTTACGGGTATTTCGGTTTTGTAACCACGTAGGGGTTGTCTCCCAAGCAGCCCCATGCATAGTTCCTTGTTTCCAGATCTATGCATCTCAAGGTGGGTAGGTGGAAGTGAAGATTACAGTATTCAAATGTGCTGTGACATGAACTTGAGTTATTTGAAATTTCGTAGCTTCATTCACAAGCTTGCCTGCTTTTCGTAAATTTGAAAATGTTGCATATTTCGTTGGTTATCACTTGCTTCCACTGCACTTTGAACCAAAAAGAACATTTGCAAAAGCCTTGTTTCAATTTTATGAAATATTGTGTAAGTTGATTGAACCTTGACAAATTGGCACATTTTTTTTTTATTATGTTATAAGTACTACATGAACTATTCGACTTGGAAATTATTCGACCTATTCGCTATTTTCTTAGAACCTAAAATTAACAATTAACATATCTCTAGTTGAACCCCTTTATAAGAGGGTCCTGATGTAACACACACTTGGTTATAAGGGACACCAGTGTGCCTACATCATTGAAGTTGGTGTTTGTCAGAAAATAAGAATGTGGTACCTTTTGAGAGACTGCTCATATAACAATAACTGGTCACTAGTGTGTGTCTCTTATAACGGGGCTCAAGTGTAAAAGTGTTTGTAAGCGGCATTTCTTGCTTGCTGCAAGTGTCTTCATCCAGCAAGATGTAGCTGCTTGTTCATCTTTGCTTTCCGTTTGCCAGCTTGTGCCAATAAGCAATGCTTATGGCATTTTCGGTTGGCCGCTCTGGTCCTCTGACTCGTAATCGCCAGATCCCGACCGGCGTGCCTGTAGCGCCACCGTGCAGCAGCTTGGAAAGCTGCCGGGTAAACACATGGCCAGGCTAGACTGCACCTGCGTGCGTGCTGTGTGGCGCCGATTAGTTCAGTGGTATCTCATACACGGCTGACCGCGGCGACAGCCTTCTAGCTCAGCACATAAATCTTACAATCGTCATCGCCTGAGCTGCTATCTTCAAGGTAAATCCCATGGCTGTGTGCGAGCTGCTGTAACGACAGCATTGACGTTTTCTCCGTCTCCGCTAGCCGCCTTTATTTTGACAAGACGTACTTATGGCTTTGTAGATGTGAACTCCCCACACACGCTCAAAAACACCACTAACAACTCGCGTACACGAAGTGTTACACACCCGGCGATGTTACCTTTCGAAATGCGCACTCACGCTGTTGGCGCTGTTCACCTAGAGTTACTGTACATGTAGCATCTACAGTAACTTCAGGTTGACCCGCCGGCAGCCACGTGATTCGCCGGCTTCTGTTACCTGATCCTTCCTCCCGGTCAGATCGCGCCATGTTCTCACTTCGAAGTCTGAGCGGTTGGGAGTGCTCAGAGTCAAAGGCCGACGCCCTGAAAGAACCAACTGAAGGTAGTCCAAGCGCTCGAATTTTACCAACCGAAGGCGCAGCCACTTTTCTGGGTGCTCAAGAGCGCTCGCAAATGCCCAACCGATTCATCATTAAAAAAGACCCAATAGCTGGGTTTGGTTTAGACAGGGCCCCCAAAAATGCAGTAACAAGAAAAAAGGACTACATGTGTATGTTGTCTTGCTGGTCAATGTACAATGGAGTTATGCTTCCAGCAAAATATCATGGTTATGTTGAGGTTAGTATTTTAAGCCACAGAATATTTCTTGGGTGAGTCCTTGTGGGCTGATCATTTTTTGTTTTTGTTTTTCCTCTGTGGCTTGTTAGTGATGATGCAGAAGCTCAAGTAGAACTAAATGAAAATGTAGCTTCCTCCTTCGCACTAGCAGTGTGTGTCGATTTTGTCTGTACTATTTCTCCAAGTGCTAAAGAATTGCTGTGAAATGTCTGAGCACCCTTAATAATTAACAATATTTATTGGTGATCAATTTTATGAAGTCAATGCCCCCACATGTGACTACATCATGAAGCGGTTACGTAAATTCTTTATATTTTTATTACCATTGTCATACCTTAGCCTGCTGGCTATAAAATTTTGTGCCGTATCATTGATCTTGCAGTGGTCTTGGTAGCAATAATATAAACTTTTCCCAGGCTAGCTTTATTATCAAGGTAATATCTCAAGTGTTTCCTAACCTGCATAGTTATAACATCCTAATGGCTAATAACATTTATATTATGCGGTGTGCACTTTCAGCCTTGACTTTGTTGTCTCAGATATTTCACTCACACCTGTCCTGGAAGGTTTTGTCATCTTGAGGAAGAATGAGAACTACGCAGCGTGAAATCATTTGTACTTACTAACTTAATAAAAAAAAAACTTGAACTGTAGTTGCGATTCATGTTACATTATTGCATGCAGTGTAAAAAACAAGAGGGTGTTTTTGCTCTGTAAATTTCAGTTTTATTGCAAAATAAGAGTGAAAAATAAAAATACATGTGACCCAAACATGAAAACCACCCGACCTGCAGGCTTGTATTTGTGACCACAGCCAACGACCAAGTTTGCTGTTCCTAGGGGTGTCTAAAAAATTTGATGTTGACTGTGCTGAGACCTATTGAAATAATGCACAGCGATAGTATAAATACTGAAAGCCTCCCTTCCTGGCTTAGAGCTCCTTTGCTGCTACTTGTCACAGTCAAGCTCTGGTGCCAGTGCAGAGTCTCCGCACCCAATATCAGTGGTGTTAATTTTTAGGTTTGTGTGTGGGTTGTCTGTACGATACCCAGCAGGATTGCTTGTCAGCCACCTCCAGAAGTCCTCACCTAAAAATGAAAAATTATGCTATTAGTATTGTTATATATAAACACTACTATTTCACATGGCAAGATGTTGCTGGACTGGATACACTCATACTGCATTTTCTCGCATTAACCTGCAAAATTTTTTGATGTACTCTAAAAGTGGGGGTTCGGGTTAAATGCAGAGGATATGGGCACATTTTTGTTTGTTATGTAGAGCTTTTGATTGTTCAGTGGTGCGGGCTATATGTGAGAAAGTACAGGATATTTTATCAATAGAATAGCTCAGTTCAGTAGCAAGGAAGGAAACAAATGTACAAGAAGTAATGTGAGGATGAGACAGTTGATTAATGAACATACTGAGGCAGTCTGTCAGCAAATTCATCATTCAGTAACATGTGCAATGGAACAAATGCACCAATGTTAAGGTGGCTGTCTGTTGGGTCAAGAAGAGAATATGTAGGTGCATTAATGGTTACTGTAAATAAGTCTATGAGGCAAAGGTTTCATCATCATCATCAGCCTGACTACGTCCACTACAGGACAAAGGCCTCTCCCATGTTCCGCCAGTTAACCCGGTCCTGTGCTTGCTGCTGCCAATTTGTACCCGCAAACTTCTTAATCTCATCTGCCCATCTAACCTTCTGTCTCCCCCTAACCCGCTTCCCTTCTCTGGGAATCCAGTTAGTTACCCTTAATGACCAGCGGTTATCCTGTCTATGCGCTACATGCCCGGCCCATGTCCATTTCCTCTTCTTTATTTCAACTATGATATCCTTAACCTCCGTTTGTCCCCTAATCCACTCTGCTCTCTTCTTGTCTCTTAAGGTTACACCTACCATTTTTCTTTCCATTGCTCGCTGCGTCGTCCTCAATTTAAGCTGAACCCTCTTTGTAAGTCTCCAGGTTTCTGTTCCGTAGCTAAGTACCGGCAAGATACAGCTGTTACATACCTTCCTCTTGAGGGATAGTGGCAATCTACCAGTCATTATTTGAGAGTGCTTGCCGAATGTGCTCCACCCCATTCTTATTCTTCTAGTTACTTCAATCTCGTGGTTAGGCTCTGCGGTTATTACCTGCCCTAAGTAGACATAGCCTTTCACAACTTCAAGTGCACTATTACCTATCTCGAAGCGCTGCTCCTTTCCGAGGTTGTTGTACATTGCTTTCGTTTGCTGCAGATTAATTTTAAGACCCACCTTACTGCTCTCCTTGTCTAACTCCGTAATCATGAGTTGCAATTCGTCCCCCGAGTTACTCAGCAATGCAATGTCATCGGCGAAGCGCAGGTCACTAAGGTATTCTCCATTAACTCTTATCCCTAGCTGTTCCCATTCTAGGCTTCTGAAAACCTCCTGTAAGCACGCAGTGAAGAGGAAACTTGGGATATGCAAAAGTCGGATGTATGCACTAAGGGACAAAGAAGGCAAAATAACTACCAATATGGATAGGATAGTTAAAATAGCGGAGGAGTTTTACAGAGATCTGTACAGTAGCCGAGACAACCACGACCTTAATACTATAAGAACTAGCAGTAACCCAGATGACACCCCACCAGTAATGATAGAAGTCAGAAAAGCTTTGGAGAGCATGCAAAGAGGCAAAGCTGCTGGTGAGGATCAGGTAACATCATACCTGCTGACAAAGATGGAGGACAGATTGTGTCAGAAAAACTAGCCACCCTGTTTACGAGGTGTCTCCCGACGGGAAGGGTACCAGAGTCTTGGAAGAACGCTAACATCATCTTAATACATAAGAAAGGAGATGACAAGGACTTGAAGAATTACAGGCCGATCAGCTTGCTCTCTGTAGTATACAAGCTATTTACAAAGGTAATTGCTAACAGAGTAAAGAAAACATTAGAATTCAATCAACCAAAGGAACAAGCAGGATTTCGAACAGGCTACTCAACAATTGACCACATTCATACTATCAATCAGGTAATAGAGAAATGCTCAGAGTATAACCAACCACTATACATAGCCTTCATAGATTACGAGAAGGCGTTTGATATACATAGCCTTCATAGATTACGAGAAGGCGTTTGATTCAGTAGAAATATCAGCCGTCATGCAGACACTGCGGAATCAGGGCATAGATGAAGTATATATAAACATTCTGGAAGAAATCTACAGGGGATCAACTGCTACCATAGTGCTTCATAAAGAAAGCAACAGAATTCCAATCAGGAAGGGTGTAAGGCAGGGGGACACAATCTCCCCAATGCTATTTACCGCAAAGGTTTCAGTAGTAGCTTATTAGCGTGTAATGTCAAACGAAACTGTCGTAATAACTACATATAAATCTAATGGCTTTTTTCTGAATATATTCAAGCAGTGACCTTATTAGACTTAGTTGTACTGGAAATACGGTAGGCTAAAACAGTAACAGGAAAGGCAGATAAGAAATGCAGTATTCAAGTTGCACTGAAGCAAAATGTTGTAGATTCTGGTATGAAAACTGCACATACACATGCGCTCAATGCCATGCTGTGCTTTCCAATGTAGTTCCTTTTCTGCCAGGCTGCAGTCGCCCCAAATGGCTGGTATGTCACCCAGGCGACGGTCGTGGATCTTGTAGGGAATCTGTGGGCAGTAGCACCAGAACCATGCAGTTATGAACTGTTCTTCCTGACACAAGTCTCGTCTCTTGCACACTTTGGTCTTACCTTCTTTCCCGTGACCTTCTCAAAGGCATCAATCAGCTGTAGCACAGTGTACCCTTTGCCAGTTCCTAGGTTGTATACCTGCAATGGACAGCCCCATAGCATTTTTTCTTATTTAAGGTGAAAGCCTCGTCAAACCGACGCCAGAAGCATGTGAGATGCAGAAAGCTTGCAATGCCTCCTATCTATGAGGCAATGCAAGTAAAATTGAAGCATCCTTAACTAAGCATTGCTCTATCTCAACATGGTAGCTAAATCTGGATGTCCGAACACTTTCACACACACACCTTCTAAATCTCTAGCCTGCCTTTGCTTCTCTATGAAGACCTAAACTGTGCCACAAAAAAGCCAAAGTGCAAATTTTCTCCTATTTTTCCTGTGTAGACCTCAAATTTTCACTCACGGCCAACACTTCTTTTTCGCTCACAGCGAAAGATCCCGATGACAGTGACGCTTCTGCGAAATGGGCTGTACAACGCTGCTACATTACAATCACGCTAGCTGCAAAACTTTCAGGGGCGGGAGAATCATTGTAATCATGTGAGAATAAAAAGATGATGGCGGCTTTTCCTTCGAGCCAACCTAGGCCGACACATAAAGATTACTGCGAGCTCTGTGTCCCCATTATTTTGTTCAGGTGTTAAGAGCTTGCATTGTTATCACAGTTCTACTTTTGTAACGACTATGCATAAGTTATGCATAAGTTATGAATCCTACACCTAGGCACGATACCTTGTATCTGGGATTCTGCTCCAACCTCTCCAAGGCAGCTACATGCCCGGTAGCAAGATCCATGACATGTATGAAATCTCGTACACCTGCATATCAACAATGTTTAGCTGCACATGCTATGGCTGGCTGGAGCACATCGCCTAACTAACTTGTTCCATCTTCGGTATCGTAGTCGCCGCCCAGAACAGCCAGTTCCGTTCTCTTTCCAAGCGCAACTTCTCCAATGACTGGCATCAAGTTGGTGAAAGCTCTGATGGGATCCTCGCCAATCTTTCCCGAGGGGTGAGCACCAAGAGGGTTGAAGTAGCGCAGTGCTATAATGTTCCATTGCTGCATGGAGACAGGTAAGTTGCATTGATTAGACATTGCTTCAGTTGAATGAATGAACGAATTAATTAATGCATGAATGCCACTCTTGCTGACTGTAGTGCCAGGGATCTTAGTGCTCCTGTAAATTACGAAAATTTCTAAGAAGCACAAAGGTGGGTGAGGAAGAGGGGGTTATGTCAAAGGTAATCGCAGTTAAGCTGCCGTGTAAAGAACTATGTGAATCAACACTTTTGTTAGTATGCTGAAGTTTAATCTAAGAGGCATAGCCAGGAATTTTTTCTGGGGGAGGAGTTCAACCACTCTTTGTGAATGCATTTGTATGTGTGTATGTTTGTATACATGCAAAATTGAAAATGCCGGGAGTTTGGTTTATGCAAAGCTCGATTCATTATTGACCATTCATAAACATGCCTCATTATATTGAGGCTGAAGATACATGGTGCTAAGTAGGAGGGAAGCTAGAAATGAGATGGTTCATTGCATAGATGCTTGTTCAAGTGTTGGAAGTTTAACCTTATAAGCAAAATTGGAATGTGCGACACAACCAAAATAGTGGGGCAGATAGTTTTATCATCTTGATAATTTGCACAGCATACATGTTCAGCCCACCTTCTCAGCTTTGCAGATGTCTTCGAGCATTTGCTCAATGGCATACTTCGTTCTTCCATACACATTTGTAACATTGCCAATTGGGTGTGCCTCATCGATAGGCAGGTACTGTGGGTTGCCATAGACCACACAAGAACTGCTGAACACCATGCTGTAGACTCCATGCTCCTTCATGACCTGGAAAAAAAAAATCAAACAGGAGCTGTCAAACATCCACAAGCATCTTGTGTGGATGACGCAATGTTCAAGTTAACAGAAAAGGTTCTGTGTGCTTGAAGAAATATCCTTGCATTGTATTGGACTCAGTAATGCCACTGTTAGGTCCTGCAAAAAATTGTGAATGGGTTGAATATATCACATTTTCTACTGATGTATGAACATCCTGTGGTACCAACCTGCGTGTTGTTTTCAGCTGCATCTGCAAATAAGGGTTATGCATGTGCCTGCAGATTTTGGATCATCAATTAGTTATGGCTGGTTTTGGTGAACTAGCCGCATGCAATGTATTTTTATGCATGCCTGACAAGGCCTGTATTGCATTGACATTGCGTCTATGGCAATGCTACCTACAAGCCCTAGGTTGTGTTCGAGTTCCAGCATACCCGGCTGCGTTTTGAAATGGGTGAAATGCAAGAACATCTATGCACTTAGCTGTAGGTGCATGTTAAAGAACCCGAGCTATTCAAAGTTATTGCATTGTCATTGGCAGCGGTGTGCCTCGCAATCGCATCTTCGTCTCTGCGCAAGAAAAAGCCCGAATTCGCTCGAATTATATAGAGTATAGTTCACGCTAAAAATGCCAGTGACTCATAAAGCACCAATAATTGTGCCTTTGGGGGTGACCATAAATTGGTAATTCATAGCTACATTTCAAGACACTGTGGATATGTACACTGGATATGTACTAAGTTGCCGTATCGCACACGCAGGCTCTTACCTCGAGCAGGTTGATGGTGCTGACAATGTTGTTCTTGTAGTAGAAGAGCGGCTTCTGCATGGACTCGCCCACAGCTTTCATAGCGGCGAAATGGATGACGAAGTCGATCTTGTGCTGCAGAAATTTAAGTGTGAATTGTAGTTGATGGCATGGCTCCTGGCTGCGTTCTCAACAGGGCTCCCAAGTTGTCGAAATTTATGGGATATAACATAAGCAACTTCTTTGTCCTATAACTAAAAATTAAATGGGCTGTTAAGTCACCCTTTGTCAGAAAAGTATAGTCTTATTCATTGTGGTGCAACTTTAGTACGGTATGTGCCTACGTATATTGCGCGCTTTTGTAGATTCATTGGTGACGAAAGGACGTGCGTGTGATCAAAGTGTGCTCTGTAGTGAGAGTGTGAAAAACAAACACACTTTGAAATGTCTAAATGTTATATTTTTCGTAACACCTGCTTAGCAAGAAAGTTTCAGGTCCTCCATTGTCTGCTATTTGTGTAACCATCAGTTGTGTCTGGTCCATACCTTGTCAAATATCTTTGCCAAGGACGCTTTCTCGAGGAGGTCACACTGGTAAAACGTCATAGTCCTTCCCGTCAGCTCTTGCGCCCGCTCCAGACTGGCCGCTTGTCCATTCTCACCTGCGTTTATGGCACATTGCCAATACTGCAGGAAGGAAACTACGCCAGCTGACCTAAATATACAGACAGATTCACTGTTGAAGGGCTGAGTGCATGGTATGTTCATATTTCGATACCTTACAGAAACATAGTTGCTTAGATATGCATAAAACTACTGGTGGTTGAAAGTTCTGTCTCCTCTTGACAGACTAGTGACGTGCTTGAAGATTGTTTTCTTTACCACTTGCTGTTTGAGGGCCAGCAATACCGCAGGTCGTTGGATTAAATCTCGGCAGCGGCAGCTGCATTTTCGATAGAGGCGAAAATGCTCTAGGTCTGCGTGCTCAGTTAAAGAACCCCAGGTGGTCGAAATTTCTGGAGCCCCCCTCCACTACGGCGCCTCTCATAATTATATGGTGGTTTTGGGACGTTAAACCCCACATAACAATCGCGAATCAATCAGAGGGCCAGCAATATTGATGGTGTCTATTGGAGTGTTCCCTCCAATACACACCATCAGTATTGCTGGTGTGTATAGGAGTGGTGTGGATCAGCACCAATCGACATCTTCTCTGGTTTGACGTAGACAGAAGCCTCACGGGACGTTCCACGAGTAGGCGTTTATAAAACATTTGCGGGGCACGCAGAATACACCGATGGGCTGGCGAGCCCTATTGTTTGTCGACCCTCTCGCTTTGTTGTCAGGCTGCTCTCAAGGTGGTTTTGGTTGCTTATGCCAGAAATGCTACTCTTTCATTCTGAGGGGGACACTCTCAAAAGACCCACATAATTTCATTCTTCAACAAAGCCTGTGGGGCGGGTTCCCTTATTTGAAAACCGGAGCCTGTGCCACTCAATGTTACCGGAGCCTGTGCACACTTAGTCTCAGGCCCTCCTTTTATATCAATTGCTGAATGATAATTATGAGATACTATGACGAGCTGACTCGAGTTCTTTTTTCTTTTTATCTTTTTTTTTTTGCGAGATGGCTATATGCGGGTTGGACTGCAATTGCATAGAATTGGACAGAAAGAAGTTTGCATGCAGTTGAGGCATCCTCAGGTATTTGTGTGGGGGGGGAGGGGGGGCATGGCGCCGCTTGTTTGGTCAATTTGGAAAGCAAATCTTTGCGAGAGATGCTCCCATTTGCAGTTAAGTAGAACGTTTTTAAATGTTGGTTAAGTATGCCACTCTTGGTCGACATGGTTAATTCGCGCCCCGTAAACTGCTGTGACCGTGTCAATGCTGCACTTGCATACCTGGGACAGCATTTGCGAAGTTGTCGATTCCAATGACCCTGTAGCCTGCTCGCAGTAGCTCGATGACCGTGTGACTGCCGATGAAGCCAGCCGCACCCGTCACAAACACAGTCTTGCCACTCATCTTGTTCACCTGCAAATAAAGAAAAACCGTGGTTTTGGAGTTCATGACAAAGTGGCGTTTAACTTTTTATTAGCATATTTTTATTTTGTCACAAACCACTGTTCTTTTTGCTTTTGTTGGGACAGAGACGTGCTGCTTTCATCTGTAGTGCCAACGAAAGCGGTTTTGCTGAACATGAACTAAAATATTATAACATAAAACTGCATTGTCATCTCTTTAATCTTTGACACGATGATCGATGTTCTTAATCAAGAAGAAAAGGAGGGGTGGGGGAGACAAGCGTTGCTTGGCGTCTGCTAGGCGGACTTGCTACTGCATGTTCTTTCTATTTATCCCACTAAGCAAAGCTGCTTCCGAACTGCTCACTTTCATCATATGCGATTTGGACCTAATCTGCTAGGGACGCAGCCAGAAATTTGCATAACACCGGTGCACCTTCGAAGGCCACATTTGTTTGCAATCGTGGACTCCGTGTTCATCGAGCCTAAGACGCCAACGAATTCTCTGAGTTACAACAAACTTTGTCTTAATAATGCACTTTCTCTGGACTAAAAAAAAAAAAAACAAACCATGTAGCTATAATGGATAGATGGCTGCATTAATTAGGTGGTTTGGAACACGCTTTAATAACAGAATGACATTTTTCGGATATTTGTCACTTAGCTTGACCACAATTCCTCCATTGAATGCTTTTCACTTAAAGCAAAAAAAAATTTAAAAGCTCTAATTAATTATTGTTAATTATCTAAGCTTACTGTAAAAAAATCGCAGCATATCCACAGACTGAATGATAATGAGTAGGGGAAGCGTCCATCGTGCTTCTGTCCGTCCGTCCGTGTGTTAGTCCATGCGTCCGTTCGTACGTCCGTCCGGCTGTCTGCGTGTCCGTCCGTCCATATGTCTGTTCATACGCGCGTGCGTGCGCCCGTCCGTGCATGCTTCCATGCGTCCGATCGCGTTCGAGAATGCAGATGGCGCATGGGTAACACCGACGAGGCGCGAACCAAGAAAGCCGAGCGCAAGCGTATTCAACGCGCCCGCCACTCTGCTTCGTCCATGCCCCACCAATGATGCGACACATGCGGCGATGATCCAGAGACTGAGAGGGGAACTCGTTTTCCGCGCACTCAGGCAAAGCGCGCGCAGCAGCCAATCAGAGAGCAGCGGCACTTCGGAGAGTAGCGGCAGAGTAACGCCATCTAGGAAATGAGACGAGAATGCCTTCTTTTGTTTCTCGTCGCTTCTCTCAGTTACGCGTGACAAGGTTAGCCTAAGAGAAGCTTCCGCCCTAATAGTTAGCGTTCTCGTGATGACCGCATTGATGGGGGCTAAGCCAGTAAGAAGCAAGGAAGGTGTGAAGGGCCGGTCAGTTATTTACAGGCCCATCCCCCCCTTGACTGTTGACCACAAATACATGCGCACATACGTACACCATACTACAGGCATGCGCAGGGTTCCCCTTCAGGAGGGAGAGGGAGGCGAAGGCTCGTAGCGGCGGACCTCCCTCCCTATTATGTCAATGTATGGGGCTGATATTGCGCCCCGTCCCAACGTGGGAGCGGCCCGCGATCCTACCCCTATAAAACGGGGGTGGAATCCTTCAGGACCCCAATAAAAGTTTTTCATCCATCCATTCTTCCGCAACGTCATTTTCACGCCACGCAGCTTTACTGCCGACGCAAATTAGAAAGACCGAATGCATTTTGCCGCAACGAGTGCTGCTGCCAGAGATCTGTGTTTGGATGCTTGTCTCGGAGGCCCTGCGTGAACTCTAATCACGTTAGCCATGTTGAAAGCGGCCGCGGCCGCGCCTGATGCACCTGGAAGGTCGGCACGCATTTCCTGCATCGTTCTTCAAACATCTCTACACGCGTTCACACCCAAGTTCAGTCTTGTCGAGTTCGTTTAAACGGTCCCGTTACTCAACACTTCGTCCACTTTCATTCTCTTTGCCATGGGAACGTACTGGCGGGTTCGATTCGTCGATGTGATCAAGAGCTCCATGACGTCATGACTCGTCCTCCCCCTCTCTTTTTTGTTTTTTGCGTAACTGAACGCGCTCCGCCGAAGTAGACGCCACGAGAATCCACCACGACACTACGACTTCAGCATTCGTTTGCACAGCATAGGGTGAAAGTGGCGACCAAGTCCCGCGCAGCGCACTTTTGCTCTTTTTGCGCTATTGCAAATGCGCGCGTGACTGGCATGAGAACCGAGTTTTGTCTCTCGGGCGCGTGACCGGCCGGCCAGATCGAAATGGCGGATGACCGATAAGATCCCACCCGGAAGAGAACATTGGCGGCTTTCAAATTCAAGAAAAAAGCAGCAACAAGAAAACGAAAAGCTCCGTGTGCCTAATCGTGTCAGGCTTTGACAAATATAATTAGTGTGTCGATGAGTGTTCTTTTTAACGAGCACCGAGGTGAAAGAACAATTGTGTTCGGAATGACCGGTTATTGTCTGAAAACTACGTTTCCGCCGATTTCGACGTCATGCGTTCATTATCAGAGGCACAAGTTTGCAACTGTGCCATTTTTGTACTTCGCGCCGGAACTTGAGCATCCGAGTGTGACCCCATCACGTTTCAGCCACATTGACTGAAATATAATGTCTTGATAGGCTTGTCATGCTACGTTGGCTCTATTAAAACACAACGTAATTAGTTATTTTTGCCGTATAATCTCAGTTAACGAGCTAAAGTTGATACTATTTACGTAGGCCCTCACAGACGCCGTCATAATGTGACGTCGCAACGAGTTGATGCATTTTGTTTTTGCACCCTTTTTTTTTTCGCTTGCTTAAAGTGTCTCCTCGTTGCCAGAGTAGCGCTTTTGAGATTGTGAAAGGATAATTTACTGATAAACGAAAATTAATACTTCTTTGCAGTGTTCTTCAAGCATAGCTTGAGCTATAATCGTTACACGATGATGCCAATCTGATAACCTCTTGTAGAGGATGCCCACAGACTGATAAACGAGGTAATTAAGGTAGGTTTAGGTGACGTCACACAGCGATTGTATATTGGCGCGTCTCGACAACCGTCTTTTTTTTTGTATGCGGTTGACAAGCGAAAGAAATGTCAAACTGAAAAATGTGCGCGCATTTTAGGATGCGGCCTATGGTCAGCTACAAAACAATCTATGATGCACGCGGTATTGTATACTGTGCGTGGACAGTGGATCACATAAGCGCTACTCAGAAGAAGCTGTGTACACTGACCAGTAGTGTAGAAAAAAATCTTTTTTTTTTGGGGGGGGGGGGGGGGGGGGGGGGGGCTACGGGGAAGTTTTAACCATACTTTACGCATGTGCGTGCGTTTGTATAATGTACGTGTATCACACATGCAAAATTGAAAATTTTCAGGGTTGGGGGTGGGGGTTGAACTTCTTCATTCCTGGCTACGCCAGTGACACAGAAGATATTGCAGAGTGACTATTGGTGGGATACTACATTTTGTTACGTATAATCCATCAAAACGATACCGAGTACCTGACGAAAGCAAAAAGCATCGGCATTTCTCAAACGTCGTTGCAGAGTCCTTCAATGCGCAAATCCTCCGAAGGGTTAGACGCATCGAAGGACTCTGGTCGTATAGTGTGAACGGAGATGGGAGTATGGGGGTACCCGTACGACTGGTTCGAGTAGGCTGCGGCTATAGTGTTCTATCATTTTCCCCTGAATTGTTTTTTAGCTTTGTCTTTCGTGAAAGTGTCACACTGCGGTTCCCTGCCAAGTAGTCTTAATACTAGTCGTTCACAAACGCTTCAGACTATATTGGCGCAGCAGTATCGATTGAAGCTAGACGTACGTGTAGTTCTGGCATTAGGACGGTAAAACTCAACGAAACCACACATCCCCTTTCGGTATAAATCTATATCACTTCTATGTAAATCTATGTAAGCCTATATAGCGTGGGTGCATATATATATGAAGTATTTATCGGGGATAAGTTTAGTTGCGAGTGTAGCGTGTGTCGTGTCCTTAATTGTCCCTACTGTCCATGTTAAAAAAGTGCGCTACTCGACCTTACGGTAAAATGATCACTTACTGGCCACGTTCAGCTAGATTTTCAATCGGTTGTGTGCTGCTCGTTTTGGATGAGAGACACGTAAACCTCTAATCCGAGAGGCTCAACCATACCACGAACGGTGGGACCCATTACAGAGTTTGCGGGTCGATCTCGTGTATATAGGAGAGTCGAGAAATGTGCACGCAGAAGTCGAAGTCAACGTAGAGTCAAGAAAAGTGTACAAGTCGTGGTCAACGATGAAGAAGTCACCCACCGTTGGTGACGCTGATGAAAGGAGCGTCTCTGTCGCTTGGGTCTCGGGGACAGGTGTGGTGCCGATCGAAGGAACGCTACCGATGGCAATGGGCTCGTCGGAACCGAGGTCGTAACAATCCAACGGGGGTGGTTGTGGTCAAGTTGGTGCACGGCTGCGGCGAATGATCCAATCCGAACGATGCTGGATCGAAGTGGTAGCGCAGCAGCGCGCGCAAGTTACTCCAGCGACACCCTCCCGTCGTGTACGAAGCGGGGCAGCTAACTTCCTTTTTCTCTCTTTTCCAGTCCGCAACTGGTGGCCTCTCCGGCGTCTCGCTTCGCCGTGAAGCGGGCGAGAGGGCAACCGGAGACGAGAGAGACGCCATGACGTGTCTGGTCTGGCCACTTTTTTTAACGCTTTGTTTCTTCGCATCTCGCTCTCTTCATCCGGATTTGATAGTCGCGTGCTCTTGCGTGAGGGTGCTCGCGTCGGCGACGAGTCTGCTGCGAGGAGACTTCGCTGGTGCATCTCTTGCGCATGTTTCTCTTTTGCTTTTGCTCTTTGCGAAGAAAGTGAGAGTGCGCAACACATCCCCGGGCAGTCCTTGTGTCGAGTACTGGATATGAGGGGTGGTGTACTTTCGCGAATTACGGTCATTTTCCATTTAGAACGGAGCAGGGTGGACAGCTCAATCTGCTTCCTCAAGGATAAAGTTTCCCTAGGCTTACCGTGTTCAGCTTCCATGTCTGCTGATATTTAACGAAACTCCAATTTTTTTTAATCAAAATTAACTGCGGAAAACTCATAAATAAAGATTATACAGATCGCGTAAATCGTACCGCGCAAATAATTGCGGATGTGTTTGAAGATGAAGAGCAAGTCGAGATATGCTTGATGGTGAAATGTCCACGACGCAACTGTAGCGTACTCGCCCTCTGGAAAAGAAGGCACCTACACTGTAGTGTAGGTGCCTTCTTTTGGCGCCTTCGTGGGGCGAGTACGCTACACAACAAAACGTACTCGGATCGGCCGCATGTATACAGTGAATGTTTTGTATAGTTTAGGAACTGGAGCTCTGCACCCATCATTGTCTTCTCGAGATAGCTTGGGTCGAACGCCGAACTTACAGAAACTCCTATCGAGCAGGTATTTTGATGAAGAGCGTGTCGTGTGTCTCTGCTCCTGCCCGTCAGACCAAGCTTTCTGTGAACCTAGTGTACAATTTTAAAATCTACGAAGTACATGTACCGTGTCCTCTTGTAGCAGGGGTCTCAAACTCGCATCAGCTAGCGGACTGCACTAGCTAAATGGGGTCTGCAGGGTCGGGCCAGTGGAGAAATCTGAAGGAGGAGTGCCTTGAACAAGATGTCAGCTATAGAATTGGCATTTGAGAGGAAGCTTATTCTATGTCTTATAGATGGCCATTTTTGAAGGAGATGAGGAGTCGGAATTCGAGAAGAATCAGTACCGATCTGCACAATAACTGAAACCTGGACGCACACTCTAAAATGATCTTGTTCCGCGGTTGTGTTTAAACACATGTCAACCACATGAGTAATTGCGTCACGAAAAGAATGCTTGAGGCTAGTCATGTCGGTGTAACACATGTACACACTTATTACGAATATCAAGAACGCATATAGGGGACGAAGACAGTCATGTACGGGCCAGGCCGCTCGCGAAAGGATCGAGGGCCGCGTTCTTGGGAGCACTCTCTTATAGTACATCTCATATGACAACGATGAGGAGCATGGCGATAGTTATAGCGCGAGAACTGAACGACAAGGGGACAAGAAGGAGACGATATCCCTTTGTCGTCGTTCTGTTCTCGCGCTATAACTATCGTAATGTCATACCAACTAGCCCAAACCGCCACACTTCTAAGATTAGGAGCAAGCAGTGGCACAGTACGAGGATTGTGCCCTGAAACGTTCTCCATTGCTTGAGTTACTTTTTCTTGATCTTTTTTTATCTCTCAGCATTTTTGGCGCTATCGCTGGACGCACGTGAGGGGCGGATCCTGCCACTCACTTCGGGGCGAAGAGGGGGGGGGGGGGGTGCTTGAAATAAAACCGGAGAGGGGGAGTCCAGACTTTTGTTTTTCGAAGTTGACACCATCACAAGAACCCCATTGCAGCATAAATACTCTTAATTTCTGCTCACAGTGGTCCCACTCACTTGTCCTAATCGGTGATAGGAGACGGATGGCAGGTAAAGGTGGTGCTGACATAGGATTTAGGGGATGGGGCATCGCCCCGCCGCCCGCCGCCCTCTGGATCCGCCGCTGATGCAGGTACCATGCTTCCGAATGCACTTGTGCCGCTCATTTGTCCTAGTCGGTGATAGGATATGGACGACAGGCACTTGAGGAGGTGCTGACCCAGGCTGTAGGGGGCATCGCCTCCGACCGCTACCCCCTGCTGTATTCACCACTGACGCAGGTACCACGTTTCCCAGTGGACTTGTGCCTCTCAGTTTACCTAGTCGGTGATAGGATATGGATGACAGACCCTTGAGGGGGTAGGGGTGCTGACACCGGCTGTAGGAGGGCATCGCCCTACTGCTCCCCCCCCCCCCTTCTGGATTCACCACTGATGCAGGTACCAAGCATCCGAGTGCACTTGTCCTGCTCATTTGTCCTAGTCGGTGATAGGATATGGACAACAGGACAACAGGCACTTGAGGGGGTGCTGACACAGCCTGTAAGGAGGAGGCATCGCTCCTACCACTCCCCCCCCCCCCCCCCCCCCTTATGGATCCACTTCTTACGCAGGTACCAAGCTTCCTATATAATGCACTTGTTTTTGCTCTGTCGCGAAATGGAGACTTTGATGCCCACTAAAGTCGAAATCAAAGTATGCGAGAACTTGTTCAGAAATCAAAATACACTTCCCTGAATTCGTTGGTCAGACTAAAGTTCAGCGCTGTGGTTGTCCGTTCCCTGTCTGGGATTACCGACACGTTTTCTTGGGCATAGTTTGTTCGTGACTTCTGAAGAAAAAATCGTCGCTCAAAACGAGACAAGGTCAGACAGCAACACGGAACTGGCACCTGCCTCGGAGGATGCAATTTTTATAAACTCCTGTCATTGTAGCCACATCATATTGAAAAAAAAATATATATAATCGTGCTAAACGCCTGAAAAACGCATCATTTTCAAGAGACACTGCTAGCGAATAGAAAAAAAAAACAACGTATGAGTCCAAAAAAAAACGTATTATGCAGAATCGTATCAGCAATATTCCATTGTATCATTGTATTGCTTCGAAGATCGCGTTTTCTTTCTCTTGTTGTTGTTGTTATCTGCTTGGATCATCTTTCAGCAGAGAGCGAGGGATAGACGACCTCTCCGCGCATCCCGAGGCGCCGTTGCTTCTAGGTGTACAAGTCGAGGAATCGTTGACCTTGGCCGGCATCGGTCCGAGGCGATTCTTGGCAGCTCGAGCTGTTGTCGATGGCGCTTCGCTCCGCGGGGCTCGCGTTCGTCGACTGCATGGGCGGGCTGCTTTCCCTTTCGCCCAGCCGGCGCAATCGTTTCCAAAATGACCCCGCGTCTTTCGGAATGGACCGCTCGCTGATCGCTCGCGGGGGCCAATGCACCCGGTTTCTGCCTCACCGAAGTTGCATGTTCGTGTAGCAGCGCAGGCCTAGGCGCGGGACGGGCCGGGGGGGGGGGGGGTGTAACCATTTAAAGGGAAGGGGGCAGTTGTGCCCCATATGGCTTTACCCCAGTGGGACATTTATTTTTTTATTTTATTTATTCCATACTGCAGACTCGAGGTCCAAGCAGGGTGGTATTACACATACAAGTAAAATAAAATAATTGCGAAACGAAACAATAAAGGGCGAAGAAGGTTGTTTGGTAGGTTAGTTCATTCATCACATGTATTAGTAAGACAGTTCCATTCACATATGGTTCTTGGAAAGTACGAATACTTCAGTAGGTCTGTGCGAGCAAAATATGGGACATTTCACGACGTCTTTAAGGCACAAGGTCAGTGTTTACGTTAATAGCCTAGACCTCGACGAGTGTATATATACTCGGACGAGCACAGCTCGACCGAGACGAAGACAGCTAGAAGACGCTGTCAGTGTTGGACAATAGAGGGGGCCACATGTTAGCGAGGAGAGTGATGCGACGAACCTTCGTTCCCACCCCCTCCGCACGCTTATGCGTCCAGGTGTGGCTACACATTTTTTGCTTGTTTTTTACGCTAATTGCGACCTTGCTGTTGCATTCAAAGAACTGTTTACTTCCCGCTTTTACCTCGGAAGGCTGGAGACCATTGACGGGCTTTTGAGAGAAGCGATCGAGTCATCGCTTCATTGTAAGTTTTGGAACCGTGGCCCAGCTTGTTTTCTTTCGGACTCGTTTAGAAGAGCAAGGGAAGTGGGTGTGGGGGATCTGCAAAACTCGAAATCAGTGAAAATATTAATATTTTTACTGTAATACAGAGGAGGGCGAAATGTAGGAGACAGATAATCAAGTAAAGTGGAGCTTGCACTGAGTCTTGCGTGAGGCTGGGTGCCAGCAGAGCTGGTGGGCAAATAGCTGGTGCTGACTTGGCTAGGCTTTCGCCCTCTCACTTTACTCCTTCCCACCCTTTGCTAGACTTGTTACCTCATTTAGCTGGGCTAGATGGTATCAATTGAATGCTTCCGTATTATTAACCAACAATCACACGTACTACAGACTACATATACACTCGAACCTCGATATAATGAACCCGAATATAAAGAAGTAATGGTTATTACGCAATTGCAATAGATATAGTGTTAGGAATTTACCTTTACAACGAATTTTATTATATAACGAACTTATTTTCGTGTAAGATTCAACTTTGTTATAATGAGGTTTGAGTGTATTCTGTCCTCCATCCCGATTAAAAAACGGGTGAAGTCTGCTGGTTGTCCTGTTTTTTTTTTTTTTTTTTTTTCGTGGAGCGACGATGGGCCTGTGCTTCACTGCAGTGTGCAAAGCTTTGAACGACCCGAGGCGAAACATTACTTTTCAGTTTCCTTTAGTTTCACAGGTGTTTGCGTTTAACATCCTTACGTCCGGTTCTTGACGATAGACATCAGCAAGATGATGGCATCATTATCATCATAAGAAGAAGACCCCGTGAAGCAGAGAAGAAAGTTTTCGCTTCTGCGTGGCGTGCTAGGCTCAGTACGGGCGTGTGATTCAGCAACGCCTACCAGGCACCCATGTAGCACTCTGCATCACGTTGCAGCACTGCGCCTTGTATTCGTTATAATCGCATACGCGCGAACGCCGCATCTTAAGCTCGTCTACGCATGAAGCGTTCGCGCAACGATCACC